TATATATACACACACACACACACACACACACACATATACACACATATATACACATATAAAACAACAACACATAAAACAGTTCAGTATAAATAATAACAATTGAAATCACCATCAATGACTTTGTTTGTGATCACTGCTTTATTGTGTGTGTCTGTGTGTGTCTGTGTGTCAGACTGGTCTACCAGAGTCAAGCAGATTGCGAAGCTGTGGAGAAAAGCCAGCTCTCAGGACAGAGCACCCTTTGTGGTGAGTGTGTAGATATTTTATCATTTACTGGGATTTGTTTTCATGAGATATTCTATATATTTTAATTGATGCAATAATAAACATGTTTATTTTATATGTATATATTATTTATAAATGAGTGTATGACATGTGACTTTGTGTGTGAATGGGTGAATGGCAGTAAAATGTACTGCAAAGTGTTTTGAGTGGACATCAAGACAAGAGAAGTGCTATATAAATACAGACCATTTACCATTGAATGTACTTTATTTTTTTATGTCATCACTCACATGATCCTTGAAGACAACCACAGGGGTCTTGGCCATTGACTGTGGGACTCTCTGAGGTTCACTCTGAACAAAGTCCTCACAACATTTATAACTCAAGTTATTAGACATTAATGCATCATGTCCAACAGTAAAGAACAAAACAACCCAAAGTGTTGGATCGTTCATGTCTACGTGACTGATTCTTCTTTTAAAACTCTTCTGTTTCCTCAAGACATCTTCATCAACCAGTTCAGAATGCTCAGTCGCAGGAAGTGCTTTATTCTGGTATCGTTACATGTGGCATCCTGTCTAGACCATCCATGTGAACGAGGTGTTTTCTCTCTCTGGCAGCAAAAAGCTCGGGACAACCGAGCGGCTCAGCGCATTAACAAGGTGCAATTGTCCAATGACCCACTGAACCGCCACCCACCCCCTCAGCCGCCGCCGCCACCTCCGCCACCTCCTCAGCTGGGACAGTATGACCCCATGTCCATGGACATGGAGGGGAATTTCAAGGACTCACTGAGGCCCAAAGAGTCAGAGCAGGAGCAGGAGTGGAAGTTCAGACAGGTGAGCACAGTTTGAGAGTTTGTCTTGAACACATCATCCTGAGAGGAAACCAACACCGGGTCGTATTGACAAATGTTTGATTCCAACACACTGATCAGAAATAATCAGACATATTGTTTCCTCACACGTTGACATCATAATAATGTTTGATCTCGTTTTCAGTTCATACAAAAAACCACAGAATCTCTGGCTTACTGTTTCCACCACAGTTTTAAAAACACGTGTTTCACCTGCAGCTCGCTGTGACAGGATGGTGTTGGTTTCCCGCTCTGAGTAGTAACCATGGTAACCCTCATGCTGCATGTCATGGCTGTAGAGACAGATGAGAGTGGATGGCGTCACATAACTGTAACTGGGGCATGAGAGTCTATAAAGTGTGTGCGTGTGCACGTGTGTGTGCGTGTGCACGTGTGTGCGCGTGCGTGCGTGCGTGTGTGTGTGTGTGTGTACCTGCTGAGCCTCAGTCACTTACACTAATGTCTGATGTAATTGTCATTGAAAAGGGAGAGGTTAAAGACAGATGGGGAGCCAGTAAGAAGAGGCAGGAAAATCTCCCCCAAAGCAAAGTCCTAAAATCACCAACAGATAAAGATTGTCCTCACCAGGCACCTGTAGCAGGAGGTGACAAACCAGCTCTGGTAAGATTTCAAAGTGAAACTGTTTGAAGCAGACTTCCTGGATGATCCTCTGAAATCCTCTTCCTGTTCCGAGTCAGTGCCGAGCTCGTCCACACACGCTTTAGATTTCACTCTGATAACCTGGAGTCTATACACGGTTCACACACGGTATACACACAGCGGAGGGGGAGGGAAAGCGAGCATTAACAGCTGCCATGTAGAAACTGATGATCACACCTGACACACCTCTCTCTCTCTCTTTATCACTCTCTCTCTATCACTCTCTCTCTCTCCCTCTATCACTCTCTCTCACTCTGTCTCTCTTTCTCTCTGCCCTCGCAGCAAATGCGTCAGAAGAGTAAACAGTTGGCGAAGATTGAGGCGACTCAGAAGTTGGAGCAAGTGAAGAATGAGCAGCTTCAACAGCAGCGTCTGTTGGCAAGTCAGCATCTGATTGGTCAGCTGTCACCGGAGAGCGGCAGCCGCAGCCCCATATCCCCCATGCAGCAGGAGCCAGCCTCTCCCGTCCACCCCCCTGCACACCCTAACCCCAGGGAGGGTCCGTCGAGGCAGCAGCCGCTCCTGCAGGGGGCAGGGGAGAGTTCAGGGCTGGCCGACAACGTCTTCCTCAGACCTCAAGCTCCACCCCCCTCTGGCTTCTCCTCACTCCCTCACTCCCCTCACCCCTCCTCCCCTCTCCATCAGCCCCCATCCTCCCCCCAGATGTTCTCTCCGCCCTCCTCCCGTCCCTCCTCTCCGTGGGATCCTTATAGTAAATTAGCAGGGACGCCCCGCCCCTCTGCCTCCCAGCCCGGTGGTCCACCACCCCACCAGCAGCAGCGCCGTAACTCCCTTAGTGCCTCCCCGGCTCACGATGCCTTCGGTTCTCCCGGTCGTTCCCCCGACTCCAAAGCCTGCGATATCTCCTGGGGCCTTGGCACTGCATCAGGTAACTTCAACAGTTTCCTCCTGCTGATGCCTCCATCTTGTTTCCTCCTCCTGTGACGTATCCCTCTCTTTCTCCCCCCAGGTCTCCAGCAGAGCAGACCGGGTATGATGAGCCCTCATTCTGGCTCCGCCTCTGACCATGCAGTCAGAAACGTCGGTGTCCGAGCAGCTGAAACCTTCCAGAGGACTCCACATAACAGCAGTAACCTCCGTGTGGCGGCTGAATTGTACGGGCGGGTCGGTGAACTGGTCCAGAGTGGGGTGTTTAAAGCCCCCATGCCCCCCCAGCAGGAGATGTTTGGAAACACGGGGGGAGGAGGAAGGAGGGACCCTTCCAGGCCCACAGACCTGGGCTTTGTCCTCCCCCAGACACTGGACCCTTCCTTCCCCTCCAGTCCACTATCAGGGCTGGGCTCCCCCCACCGGAGCCCCTACGCCCAGACGCCCGGAACCCCCAGACCCGACTACAGCCAGCAGATCCCTGACCCCTTCACCCAGCAGTCACCTTTGACCTCCAGACCCTCTCCTGACCCCTACACTAACCCTCTGGCCCCTGGTACACCACGTCCACACTCTGACCCATCCTACCTCACCCCCCCTCCCACGCTGCGACTGGACCAGTTCAATCAGCAGCCCTCTACACGCCGTCCATCCCCCTCCCACCCAACCCTTKACCCTTACAACTCCAACCCAGGGACGCCCCGCCCCTCTGTCTCTGAGCGTGTCCCTCGATCACCAGGGAGTCAGCGGAGCACTGACCCCTACACCCAGCAACCATCCACACCGAGGCCGCAGAAGGGCCCTGAGTCCTTCAT